CCTGTCCCGATGCCAGATTTTGTTTGCTAACAACTTCGTAACGATCCAGGCTGAATCGTTTCGTATTAAATCGGGTATTTTTTCAAGTAATATTTATGGATTCTGTTGAATGCACGTGCTCGAGTATTTTCGAACGTTTTGAAAATTTTTGATGCGACAGCTGTTTCACGAACGACGGATGAAACGTGTGTAATATCGAGGGTTATAGTCCTCGTGCCATAGAAGACTGGACGCTATTCAATGCAGTATCGTAATGCGAGCCTCTCAAAGCAATTCTCTTCCTGAAAACGGCGAACGCGCGACAGACAGCTGCCAAGCTTCATGGACGTTCCGCGAACCCGGAGTCATGGCCCGAATTAATCTTACTGTAATATGGAAATGTGCCGTTCGGGCGGACCGCGAGAAGATCCGGTCGAACGATCGGATCCGGTCGGGGCAGAACAAGGAATATAGATGCGGCCAATTGGGGTGGATCCGTTCCACGGGCCCGTATGATTGGTTTACAGATTACCGTGCGTCTGCCGTAGACCGCCGCTATCAACCCCTATCGGACTCTGCTTATTCGTTAGACGGATCTGAACGATCGCGTCGAGGACCTGCCAAATGCACTTTTCTAACGTCCTCGACATGTACTGGAATACCGAAGAGATTGCTTATGTTATAAACGCGATCGTATCTATTTTAATTTAGACTTAGTAAGATCCTTTTCTCTCGAACGTTCTACCTTCGAACTCACCCCCTCTGCTTTAATCCCATATCGAAGAAGGAAATAATTTTTCGATTATCGACGTAATCGAGTCGGCTGGCAAATTAATATATCACGCAATGTAGCGTATCGAATGGGCTGCGTTCATTAAGTAGATAGATTCTTTCTTCCCTATTAAGAATGCTACGAACTCTCCTGTCTGGTATAGATTAATTGAATTTCAAAGAATTAAATACTCAATCACTAGTCGTTAAATTTCCTTACAGTTTTTTTAATTTGTTAGGGATCAAATTAAAACGGAAGCACCGTTTAGCGGAAAAATGATTGTTTTGGAACGGAAATTGCGCACAATTTCGAAATGACGTCTCCGTGAATTTGCCAAGCGTTGCAACACGGTCCATTCGATCAGCATTCGCCGAGAAATGAGCAATAGATCGAAGGCATGCCGGTAAAGAGCAGAACTAGCGATCGCAGAGAGCGCGAGAGGTAGGAATCGAGAGGGTGACCGAGTGAGACGGTAAATGAGACTTGAAGAGAGAGAGAGAGAGAGAGAGAGAGAGAGAGAGAGAGAGAGAGAGAGAGAGAGAGAGCGGGAGAGAGAATTATACAAGCGCAAGCGCATGCCGCATCGTACACACGCGCGTAATCCACAGCGTGACTATTAGTCGTAAGTCAATAATAAAGCCCTTGTCCTGGATCGACCATAATGGCTCCAGTGAATTATTCTGTCCAGGACGCATTGTCCTGCTGGATCGTCCACGGGGATAGAATTGTCGACGGCCATCGGCGATATATGCGGTGTACACACGCGTAAGATCTCGAGCGGGAAACGCGTCTACGGGCGTATTCACGTACGGGGCCTCGTAATTGAGATGGATGTTCAATTAGTTTGGCCAAGTTTCATTTGCACACAAAACCCCTGACCCGCGATGTCCCTGCGTTCTCGAGCACGCTTCTCTTCCTTTTCTTCGACGCGATGGGAGGTCCTGAGACCGACTGATCTTCTCCTAGACCTTCTCCTAGTCTAGAGCTAACGAATAAGAGTCTTATTGCTCGTACAACAACAAATTATCGTTGTTGTTAATAACGCATGCCTTGGTTGATAAAATTTAAGCCGCGAGATCACGGTGTGCCTTCGACGAATTGCTATACTCGTGAAAATATAGCGACGCTTCGAACAGGTGTTGGAAAAAGGTGTCGAAGAAATTGGAACTTTAAAGACATTTCATTGCTCGGAACAGCGTTCCTCTTTTCTCTGTCTCCTCTCCGCTGGTGTCTCTCGCGGAAATAAACCTTCCAGCGAGCGTGAAACTACCTACGCGATCCAACGTGTTGTACGTGTCTTTTCTTACGTAATGGACGCAACTCGACTTCGCGAGAATGAATGGACCTGACAGGTAGCGATATTACGAATTTATCGAGGATTCGGCCGATGCTTAGTCGACGTAACATCTATTCGCTTCACCTCGCCTGCGGCGAACTTCCTTCGCATTGTAATTCACTTCCCGTCTCCCCAGAATGCCTTGGAACACTTCGAGAACTCCACCCGTCCAATTTTTCTCCCTGTTCCTTTTTATTTTTGTTTACTTTCTTTTCGCTTTAAGTGGACAATGGACCTCGATGGCAGAAGATCTCGAAAATGTTCCGTTTCCGAAATGTTTTCGTTTTGCAATCACCGAATTATTTAAATACATACTTTGGATTCTTCTTTGCAAAGCTTCTTAAAGAAATTTTAGGCCAACGCGCGAAGCCGTATCAGCGACGTTAATTTTCAACTGATCCATATCAACGTAACGCGGTTTGTTTGCGCGTCGTATCGGGATGCTTCCCTATCCGTCGGCCACGGCTGGATTCGCGGTTCGCATATTTGCGGATTCAGGTAGCAAAGGTATCCTCTGGCCGAAGATTATCGTGGAATTGAAATTGCAGTCAGGCTGAATTACACTAGACCGAGCTATCGCGGCACGACATCAATGGTGGATCGCGTGATTGGTAACAGCGTTGCGCGAGCTGTCCAGACGAACGTTCAGTCGTACTTTGGTCGCTGGACTTTACCGCGTGTCCGGGAAAAAGCAGCAGCTCGAGCAAACAATTGTCCTCGTCCATTCGGACGCAAAGTGATATCGGGTCGGATATCGCGACTCTGCGGTTTACGACGTCCAGGGGAACCGCGACAGACGGACCGAAAAAATTGAACGAAAGAGGGTAGAGGATACTGGTTAAAGATGAACCACTTTCCGGCGGGATCGATCCGACGACAGTCTTTAAAATATTCACGCAGTGCTGCGTTTGACGGGCTGGTCGGAAAGGACCGAGAGCCGTCCCCAAGGACGTTGGGACGCATTCTCCCGGAGTTTTCTCTGTCGGATCGCGTGTCCCTCCATCGATTCTGACGTTCGGACCGGTCCAGAAACGATTCGCCACAGAGCTCACCGTTTCGACGCGCACATGGAAAAAAGAGGATGGAAAAAGGAGAACGGCCATTGTGACTTTTGATGACAATCGTCGCGACCGACGCGGACATTTGATCGAATCAATCGATTGATTTCTATGGGTCTTCTAAACACAGAGTCGGATGGAGGTGTGGGGTGCGTCAAAGGGCTGGAGAACGGAAAGGGGTAGGGGAACAAGAGGAATGAAGAGCTAGTCTCCGGGGAGGACTGGCATCCAACGTGGGATAGAGAGATGAGTCGCGAGAGAGAGAGAGAGAGAGAGAGAGAGAGAGAGAGAGAGAGAGAGAG